TTAAGTCCATAACAGTTACCTTTTCATAATTGAGATAAGTTTGCCATGATCAGTATTTTTAGTCTTCTAGTTTTTTTAAGGTGGGTGGTTTTCATATGGTTGGGGAAGGAATGTGCTAAAAGGATCATAAGTTTCTAGATGGATATTCTATGCTGTGTCTCCTTTGCTGATCAACCTGCTGATATCTTCACCAAAGCTCATTCTCCTGGCCGCTTCGTTGAACTTGTCTCCAAACTCCAGTTGGTTGATGTTTGTCCTCCTTGAGTTTGAGGGGGGCTGTTAACATATATTAATATAATTATATGTTATAGTATGTATATAATATAATATGTTATATATTATCATATGCTTCCTTTCCTTTAATATATTATAGTATGTATATATTAGGATTCCTTGTCGCTGTTTTCGGTCGCCCGCCCTCTTTCGGCCTCCTTTTGTTTATTATATTAGATTAGATCATAATGATGTTTTGTATCAAGCTCCTATATTATGGAGCCTCTATTTGGTTTCTATACACAGTTTCAATAACAGAGTGTTCACCTTCAATATCACTCTCTCAACTCTCTCTCAACTTCTTTTACAAAGCCAGTTTGCTAAGTCTTTACTTCCGGCAAACTATCCATCACTTTGAGCAGGAAAATTTGTAGAACAAGGGCTTCCCGTACATAATCTCAATGGAAATAAAAGAGAGTTTTGACAACGCATTATCTAAGAAAGCATGCACGATCACACTTTGCTAACAGTATTTCCAGATTCCTGCTATGATATGAGTTATGAATTAATCAAGTTGAATATGATGTTTCATCTTTCAACTGCCTGGCAATTTGAATCATTTGGTCCTTTCATTGAGACATTGAGTGCCCTAATATTAATTTTTTGATATTTTCTGGGTGTCTTGAGCATAAAATAGCTCTTAATTTGTGGAATTAGTTTTGTAATTTTAATGATTTATGTAACCTGATAGCACACAAATGAATGGAAAATGTAAATAGAAAAGTTACCTGTTGGTTCATGGACTTGGAAGATGATTTCTCTAGTCATCTTTTTAAATGAATTTTAGAGTGGTAAAAGATAAAAAAATGTAGACAGTAGACGAGGCTGGGAATTTTTTTCCCTGACACTTTTTCAGCTGATTGAATAATTATACCTTTCCATATTATGATCATGCTTATGTGCATATCTGAATACATAGAATAACTTCACATTGTTGAGCCATTTTGATTGTTAACTTCCAGCAGTGTTCTTGGTGAAACTGTGAATAAGCATGATCTATTTTATCCAAAACAAGTAGATAAATAGCTTTATGAACACTGTGTTTATCTTTGAAAGGTTAAATTACACTAATCTCTCTTGAGATTTCAGACAATTATAAAGACTTTTCTTGAAATTTTAATAATTATACAAATCTCGCTTATTTTTGAAACTTTTATGAAGATTCTCCTATTGTTAGACTATTTAACAGAATTTGCTGATACCAGGTTAATGTCATAGGTTATAATACTTAAAATGGCAAAATTACCCATTAGTTACCTTATCTATACAAATGAGAAATTTCACTCATTTCTCTTGAGATTTTAATTTTTTTTTTATTAAAGACTCATGCATACTTTAGAATTATTTAATAAAATCATTAAAATTCATGCAATATTAAATAAAACTCTTAAATTGTTAAAATATTATTAAATCATTTAATAGAAAAAAAAACTTAATTTTTATTGATAAAATACTTAAAAATAAATAATCTATTTAAAATTAATGTTAGATAACATCCTTTTAATTTTTATCTTTGGGTCATTAAATTTCTAGTCGATGCATATTTAAAAAAACCTAGGTTAATATTTTTTTCATGGTTAAAAAAATTAAAAAATAAATATAGAAGTAAAAAAAAAAAAATCACCTCATAATAAATTAAAACTAGTTGATAGGGAATGAATGATCATGAAATTTTAGAATTAATTTCTCACCTTCATTAATGGTTAAATTTTATTTTATTTTTTCTATAAAAGTTCAAAAACTTTTAGAAAAAAATAGAGTCAAGCAATTACATTTATATTTTGAAAAAATTATGAAAATAAATAATAATTTCATATATATTTAATAGGGTAAATTAAATTTAGTACATTTAAGGTTAAGATTAATGTCGATAACCTTAGAGGAGGTAAGATTTTTTTTTTTTTTTTACTTTTATATTTATTTTTTTAATTTTTTTAATCATGTAAGAAATATTAACTTACATTTTTTTTTAAATATACTTCAACTAGAAGTTTAATAGCGCAAAAATAAATGCATTTATTTCAACTTTACAAAATATTAAGTAATAAATGCATTACTTAAATGATGAATTTTACGTTATTTATATAGTGTGGAATAAGTCTTATATTAAATTATTAGAATGTTATCTAACATTAATTTTAGAGAGATGATTTATTATGTTATCTAACATTAATTTTAGAGAGATAATTTATTTTAAAGTATTTTATTAAATGTTTCAATAACGTCTTAACAATTTAGAGATAAATAATTTTTTTACATATGAACAAATAAGTAAGACAAATTGCTGGAAAAAAAAATCTAATTGTTTCAATTTAAAAAAAAAAGAAAAAAGAAATTTAAATAATAAATGCATTAATTAAAATTGATAAATTTTTCGTTATTTATATAGTATGAAATAAGTCTTATATGTATTATTTTATTAGGGTCTTATATTAAATTATTAGGGTATTATGTTAAAATATGCATGAGTTTTTAATAATACATATGCAAAACCTCAAGAAGGTGAGTGAAAATTTTCATTTAAATAGCTTATTGGTTGATTTGATAGTTTTCATCTTCTCGCTCAATTCAAAAGGGTAATATGGTCATTTTGGATAGTCAATTAAGGCCGTTTGTACTACATTAATGGAGTGAGAGAATCTTAATATTATTAGTAAAAATAAGAGAGATTTTTATAATTATTAAAATCATAGAGAAAGTTTCAGTATTTGTGAGAAACCTCAGGAGAGGTAATTGTAATTTACCATTTGTTTCTTGCTAGTGGTAGTAGGTGCCATTGAATTGGGATAATTCTATTGTCATACACTTACGTACCTCAGTGTACATCATTTTTCAGTACATACATTTAGTAATTTGATTATGAGTTATTGTTCTCATTCTACACGCCAAATATTCCAACCATATCCTTAACTTATATCATTGTACACACATCCATTCAACTATTTTTCCATACACTTGTTCAAAATTGTATACCAACGGTTTAGACCCTATTTCAAGTGACGCAGAGTTTTCAATCGGTGGTATGATTATGAAACAAATGATCAGTGGGTGGAACTTCAATGAATATAGGGGTGTAAATCTGGCCCGGCCCAGCTCGGCTCATGTCAAGCCTCGCGAGCTCTCGCCAAAATTTGGGCCCGACCCGACCGGCCCACGAGCTAAAAAATTAGACACAGGAGGTATTCAGGGCTTGGGTGGGCCGATCCGATGGGTCTGGGCCTGGCTTCGGACTTGGACAGGGCTTAGGCAAGCTTGACTATTTTTTTTTGTTTTTTTTTTTTAATTTTTTCTACCAAAATTTTATTATTTTCCACTAAAAAAAACACTGGCCTTGAGCTAGCCAGGCCTCGAGTGAGCTTTAAAATGATAACCCAAGCCTAGGGGTTCAGGCTGGGCTCGAGTTAAGGCCCAAACGAACCTAAACGGTTAATATTATTCTTCGTTAGCCTATGTAATAGAATTTCCTAATACTCATATTGATGTAATAAGAATAGTGGCCAAATTACCTATTAGATGTCTTATTTATTCAAATTAGTAATTTCACTCACCTTTCTTGAGGTTTACATATATATTATCAGAGACACATATTTTAAAATTCATGCAATATTAAATAAAATTCTTAAATTGTTAAAATATTATTAAATCATTTAATGAAAAAAAAATGATTAATTTTATTGATAAAATACTTAAAAATAAATAATATCTCTAAAATTAATGTTAGATAGCATCCTAATAATTTAATATAAGACTCATTCCATACTACATAAATAACTTAAAATTTATCATTTTAAGTAATGTATTTCTTATTTGAATTTTTTTTAAAAGTTAAAATAAATGGATTTATTTTTTTCGTACAATTAACATTACATATTTATTTTATTCATATGTACAAATATCATTATTTTATTTTTTCTCACTCATATATTATTCTCAAATTTTAATTTTTGGGTCATTAAACTTCTAGCCGATGCATATTTAAAAAAACGTAGGTTAATATTTTTACATTATTAAAAAAAATTAAAAAATAAATATAGAAGTAAAAAAAAATATAATCACCTCACAATAAATTAAAATTGATGATAAGGAATGAAGGATCATGAAATTTTAGAATTAATTTCTCACCTTCATTAATGGTTAAATTTTATTTTATTATTTCTATAAAAATTCAAAAACTTGTGAAAAAAAATAGAGTCAAGAAATTATATTTATATTTTCAAAAAATTATGAAAAATAAATAATAATTTCATATATATTTAATAAGATAAATTAAATTTAATGTATTTAAGGTTACATGAATCAAGTTCAAATATCTTGTTTCATTATGGTGCATACATAAGAAAATGTGATGCGGCAATATTGTACTTTTGACTTTTCAAGTTTGACAACTCATATAAAGAGTCAGAAATTGACCAATTATACAAAGAGTTGGAGGCTATTGGTCTTGGTTGTAACTTTTACGTCTCTATTTTATTAGAATGAAAAAATTGTGAAAAGTAAAAATGAAAGAAGGTGAAGTAAAAGTAATGAAATGAAAAAGAAAATATGTTTTCTTGCAAACATTTTAATAGGATGAAAATTTTACAAGACAAATTAGGAACAATTACTAAAACAGTAGTTATATATGACAAACACAACGTTTTAGAAAAGTGTTCTACAAGAACACTACATAGAGATAACATACCCAACAACACAACATTAATAGCAGAAAACTGAGTGCAACCAAGCCATTTAAGGTCAAGAGCAGTATTCCTATGAAGATCCAATCACAGAATTTTTGGCATGTGTATATGTCAATTATGATTTTGATGCCGCCCCAAAAAAGATGCGAGGGTGTGAAGAAGTAAGCTCCATTTTCCTTGAAGTGTGTGTTTTCTGTTATTAGTATTTGAATTTGCCTGCTATTAAACATTCTTCATTATGTTTCTTGCTTTGTGCTCTCCATTTTATCACATAGTTTTGATGTCATGGGATCTAAATCTAAACAGTTATGGTATATATGCATATCTGAAAGTTTGTTATTCTGGACTTGAGACTTACTGCTTGTGTACTTCTATGAATTAGTATTGGTTACTTGTGTATACATATAGGTAGTGTCTAATAAGGAAACAGAAAAAAGAGAAAAATATTGAAATTTAAAAAAAAAAAAAAACTTATTGAAACCTATGAAGCACGGGTGCGGGTATGTCACGACCCAAACCCGGCCCTATGGGTTTAGCACCGTAACCGGCCAGTAATCCGAGATCACCGAAGGCCTGCAGAACAGTAATACAGTGAAACAGAGTACAGGGCCTGGCGGAAGCCAATACAGCAAGTAAATAGTGTCCATTGAGCTGTGACAGTCTGTATGCAAAAAGGCTTTTCATACATTTATACACAAGCAATACAGAACAGTATGTACAATATTGACATCCATTCAAACTAGGGACTCAACCCTACACTTACTGCTTGTGTACTTCTATGAATTAGTATTGGTTACTTGTGTATATATACAGGTACTGTCTAATAAGGAAATAGAAAAAAGAGAAAAATATTGAAATTTAAAAAAAAAAAATCCTTATTGAAACTTATGAAGCACAGGTGCGGGTACGGATATGATACGGGTACGACTGAAGTATGTAAATAATTTTTTTTTTTTTTTTTTTTTTTTTTTTTTTTTTTTTTTTATAGTTTGAGATTCAATCTACAAATCAAAGTTAAATATTAAAACTAAAAGGAAAAATTACAAAACCAAAAGAGAAATCATAGTTCAACAATACTAATACCAAAGCAAAGTCTATAAGCTATTTAAATGCCATTAAATAGAAGAAATTACAAAACAATTATTCCAAAAGCAAGCTAAGAAAAATTTGAAAACTTGAAACTTCAGTTTTCACTTCCATCAATTTCATCATCGAATAATACATCTTTCATTTCTGGCATATCAAGTAAAGGATTTGCAATTTCAAGTTAGTAAGAACTCTCTAATAAATTAAACGTATGGTGTACTCCCGATGTACCCAACTGCCAAAGAACGTATAAAAAGTACCAAGTATGTGTTTTGAGTACCCGGTATGCGTGCAGCCTTATCGGTACGAGTACCAGTACTTGGTAAGTACCCGGTACGAGTACGACAACATTTTCGGAGTATCCATGCTTCATAGATTGAAACTAAACTTCCATGATGGATCTAAATTCTTGGTTGCCGCCTCATTCACCTAAATTAGGTGCGAACCTCTCCTCCTTGATCTCCATCAGGTTCCTATTACTTTACAGCAAAATGCTTCAAAGAAGTACGTGGTGTTTAATCAAAAGCCCATACTGATCATCTTGATTTTCATTTTCACATCATATGGCTTTACTTGCAGTTTTGTGATGTCATTTTTGGTTGCCTTCAGTTTGTTTGGACTTTTTATTTGCTTTCCCTAATGGTGTCTGGTGCTTATTGAACATGGATTTATGATGTAGGTGATATTGAATGACCCATTCCTCGGCAAACGAGTGGAAGAAGGCAACTTTTCAACTGTACCAGTGAGGGACGAGTTCCTTGAAAATGCCGTCTTTTTATCTTTGAGACTTATTGCCGAATACATCAGCGCATTGACATGGGGTATGTACCTGAATTTTGTACTTGCATCGGGAACTTACTATCTTCCAACTTCTCTGCATGTCACTGTGCTGTACACACATTAGTTTCTTTATATCTTCTCTGGCTTTGAGAAACAATGCAAATCTATCATACTTGTTTCCTTTGTTAATAGGACAAATTGTACAGGACTTTTACTGTAAATGGATTGATTGTGGTATAATAAGCTGTACCAATTTCTAAGAAAGATGTGTTCATGTACTTCTATGGAAACATTTTTCTGAACATCCTAAGACATTTGATTGTGAGAAGAAAAATTTTTGAGAATATGTTAATACTTTTTTTTACAAAAAATTTGGAATTGTAAAAAACTGATCTGCAACTATTGGGTTGCTTCTAGAGAAACTTTTGAAAATGAATTTCAGAAGCAAACATCCAAAGTGTGTTTAATGTCCCATATTCAGTTAATTTCTGGGGATAATTTTTGTTGGTAGGATTTTGATGTTTTTTAATTCCTTGTGATTATTTTGAAGTTTTCTTCTGTTTTGGCAGGGTTCTTGCAGAAAAACTAAATTTGAATTATGATGAGGCTGAGAGATGGATTGTGAATCTTATCCGAACCTCAAAGCTTGATGCTAAGATTGATACAAAGTCGGGAACTGTTATCATGGAACCTAATCATCCTAATGTGTAAGTCCAGCTTCTGGCATATGATGATGTTTCTGTTGTTCTGTTCATTTACTTCCTGACTGCCATTTGTTTTCCTCTGTTATTTTTATTTAGTTCGATACCTTTTTTAATTTTTTTTCAACCAAATAAGTTTTTTTGGTTGCAGGTATGAGCAGTTAATAGACCACACCAAGGGACTGTCAGGACGTACTTACAAACTAGTTACTCAGCTTCTGGAACATGCACAGGCACAGCCTGCTCGATAAATTTGGTATTGAAGTTGCTACTCATTTATTAAGGGCTTGGATTCAAAAAACTAGAGCAAGTTTCCTTTTTCATTTTTGTTGTGAGAAAGGAAGAGAATTCAAAATTACTGTGAAGATATTTAATTTGATGTTCTTGAGTTGTCTGGTTAAGATTGTTCGACTTGTTTAGATTTTCAGATATTAATGTAATGCTAATTTGCAAAGTTTTGCTAAAAAATTATCTTAATTTGTTGTTCTATATTTTCCCGTATTTGTTTTTGTGCTGTGTGCCTATTCTTCCCCTTCTGCCTAGTCGGCAGTTAAATGCCAAAGGACCTGTTTTCATACACCGGTAGATGCTTGGCTTGTTTGACAGAAACTAGAGTTCTGCATTGTAGGAGACATTTCAATATGTAAGCCATACCTGAGGTAGGGATACCTGAGTTTTAGATACCTATCCTTCATTTTCCACTCTTTTACTGAGGAAAAAGTCATATCCAGTGCATAAGGCTCCCCAGGAACCGGCTCTTTGGGAAGTCTCAAGCAGCTATATTGATATACCAAAGTGGAAATTGTGAAAAAACTCTATTCATTGAATTATACACTCATTAGTGGAATTTCACGGGGGTTTAATAGCATATAAAGCAAATAACATGAATGAGACATTAACTTAACAAGTCTACATTCAGGCACTCATTTCTTCATAACCAATTTCGTACCCCCCCATTTTTGGAGAGCTATTTTTATGACTCGAACTTGTGTTGCCAGAGACAATAATGGCACGTCTTATTGTTGGGCCAACCCGCCCCTTGCACAAAAAAATAAATAATAGTCTCTTTTCTTCCCCACTCGTATTGAAGAATCAACTCCGGCAAATGCAAAAGAGTACATTTACTGACTTCACCTCGCTGTGCTTCTGCTGAATTCCAATTGTAGCTGCAATTGCTAGAGTGAAAAGGAAAAGGAAAAACAAAAAAGAAAAAAGAGAGCTCGAAATGAGTAAGTTAAAAAAAAAAAACTTGTAATCAACTTAAATTGTAATGTGTTTTTCATGCAATAGTTCTCCAATGGAAGCGATCTATCTTTTGAGGAGAGTAATAAAAAAATATAGAGAAAAGAAAAGAGACATTTATATGGTGTTTATCGACTTTGAGAAAGCATATGATAGAGTGCCCTGAGATGTAATATGGTGGGTGTTAGAGAAGAAAGGGGGTGACAAAAGGTTACATTGATGTGATTAGGGACATGTATGAAGGGGTGGTGATCACTATTAGATCGCCTATTAGAGAGACAAATAAATTTCCCATCATTGTAGGGTTATATCAAGCTTCTACCTTAAGTCCTTATCTTTTTGCTTTAGTTCTAGATGAGTTGACGACAAATATTCAGGATGACGTGCTATGGTGTATGCTTTTTGTAGACGATATCGTGCTAGTGGATGAGACTAGAGAAGGAGTAAACACAAAGTTGGAGATTTAGTGAAAAGCTCTTGAATCTAAAGGATTCCGGATAAGCAGAACTTAGACAGAGTACATGGAGTGTAAATTTAGTGACAGTAACAATGAAAGGAGAGGAGAAGTGAAGATTGAGAACCAAGAACTGCCTAAAAGTGAATATTTTCGTTATTTATGGTCGATTAGCATAATAGCGGGGGAGATTGATGCGGATGTGGCCCATAGGATTAAGGCGGAATGGTATAAGTGGAGAAGTACGTCTGGGGTACTGTGCGACAAACGAATACTCACTAGACTAAAAAGTAAGTTCTATAGTACAGCTATTAGACCAGCGATGTTGTATAGGACGGAGTGTTTGGCAACCAAAAAATAACATGTATGGATGAGTGTGGCTGAGATGAGGATGCTAAGGTGAATGTGTGGCAAGATTAAACAAGACAGAATTACGAATGAGTGTATTCGGGAATCGGTAGGAGTAGCACCGATAGAAGATAAGTTGTGAGAGAATCGATTGAGATGGTTTGGTCATATTCAACAGAGACCAACAGAGGCAGTAGTGAAGAGATGCGATACTGTAACGGTTGATGGAAGTGTTACGGGAAGGAGTAGGCCTAGATTAACATTAGCTAGCGTTGTAAATAGAGATATGGATCTACTTAATTTGACTAACGAAATGGCCTTTAATAGGGCCGCGTGGAGAATAAGGATTTATGTAGCCAACTTCATTTGATGGGACTTAAGACTTGATTGGTCTGGTTTTTTTGTAAACAGAAAACAGGAAAATGATGAAGTTATCAAATGATAATGTTTAAAAATATATCAAACCATATTAGCTTAAATTATATTAAATATGAAATAAGAAGATTGTAAATCTGTCATACGAATAGAAGACAGACTTTGGAATATTTTTCCTTACCTAATAATGAGTGGAGGTGATCTTGGTTTTGTTGAGATATATTTCAGGGACATGAGCTATCATATGCTAGTCCTCCCCTATTTCAGGCTGGCACCTTCTAATCAACTTATCGTTGCACTCGACGATGTGCAGTACTTTTAGCGCATTGAGGTGGTCGAAACCCTATGGCAACAATGACAATTTAGGACATTCTAAAATCTCGAGCTTGTGGAGTGATGTCGAGTTCTCTGGCCAATAGGGTAATTTCACAAGGTTGGGGCAGCACACGATGCAAAAGTTGCTAGTAGCAGGGCCATAAAGCCACTGGGGCAAGGTCTTCAACTTTGACAATTCTCCCATCACCACTGTTTGAATTCTAAGGGCCTGAATGCCTCTCACCTTTGACACGCCAAACTCTTCACAATCATTAATCATCAGGTTCTGTAACTTGGTTAGATTTCCTATGCTGCTTGGAAGAGATGCTAGGCACGGGCAGCTGTTAATGACTAATGTTCGAAGAGCAGTGAGGTTCTGAATTTCATCAGGCAGCGAAGCAAGATTAACACAACCGGTGATCCACAGAGGCCCAAGAGAGGTCAAGCATTCTATTCCTTTCTCTTGGAAAGAATTTTTGTTGTGTGGTTATATACAAATGCCTGAAGCTTACCAAGTTCCCTAGATATTTGGGTAACCGTTTAAGTTCCTTGCAATGTGAAAGTTGCAAGTTCTGCGGCTTCAGCAGCTTGCAAATGGATTTAGGAAGCATTTAGATTCTTTGATTCCTACTGAGGTTTCAAGTAACCGATTGAACGTGGCAGCACCTCAAAACATGAATCTGTGAAATCAATCATGCGCAATAACAAGAACCTTGAGATGGATTCATCAACTAAGCAATCGCGAATGCACCATGTCCCATCTCGTGGAAAGAAAATGGTCCTCAATTTCTCGAGTTTAAGTACATGTTCCGGTAATTCTTTCCCTGATAAATAATCACAACCAAGAAATGAAACGTGTCGAACCATGCTAGATATTTCTTGGTTATGGAACTTCATTGTTATGCACTCAGTTTGTGCCATGGATTGTGCCAGGTCATGCATAAGGTTGTGCATTGTAAAGGTTATGTGTAATGGGCCATTTTCTTCAACCTCTTGGAAGAATGATCTTGAACGCAACTCATCAAAATACTGATCCCCAACATCTTCCAACTCTTGATTGTGTGTTGACTGAATGAGTCCATGTGCCATCCACAACTGAATCAATTCATCCTTGTAAACGTACTAACCAGTCAGAAAAATTGAACAGAATGCAAAGCATTGTCTCAAGTAAGATGGCAATTTATCATAGCTCAATCTCAACGTTGGCATGATATCATCCTGCTTCTGATCTTCCAGTTTCCAAATTTCACTATCTCTCATCTGCAACCAATCACGCTCATTAGTTTTATCGCACAATTTCCTTGCAAATGTCCTTGCAGCCAATGGAACTCCTTTACACTTGTTCACAATTTTCTCCCCAATTTTCAGGAGGTTCGGATGCTTCCTCTCTTCCCCTGGTGGAAAAGCCCATTTCACAAATAACACGAAGCAGTCATTCCATGAAAGTCCAGCTAAATCATACCGGTGACTACCTCCCATAATCGAAGCAACATAGTTGCTCCTTGTAGTGACAATGATTTTGCTTCCACTGGCACCATCCATCAACAAACTTTTGAACTCAATCCACTTTGGATGGTCAGCATTCCAAACATCATCCATGACGAGCAAAAATTTCCTACCATACAAAGTACTTCGGAGCATGGACTGCAATTGTTCAATGCCTAATTTTCTACAACATTCATGGACTGCAATTGTTCAATGCCTAATTTTCTACAACATTTAGAAGTTAAATATGTGATAATCTCTCTGGTTAGGATCTCTATATCCAAGTCTGCGGACACACATGCCCACATTTTCAGGTGAAAATGCTGCTGCTCAACCTTGTCATCATTGTACACTAACTTGGCAAGTGTGGCCTTCCCCAGACCCCCAATTCCAACTATGGGAATAACAGAAACGTGCTCATGATGACGATGAACACGATGATCATTTGATGAATTGTAAATTAACATGTCAATAATTTTTTCTTTGTCATCGTTTCTTCCAATCACATCTTCTCTGTGAATGAATGATTAGGTTATCTCCCTCTCTCTTGGCACAACATTTCTAGCTACAAAGCGCTCGGTGAGATGAAATTGATCTTTAACAGCAGCAATCTTCTCCAAATGCTTATTGAAGTCCTTGAGTTTATGTCCAAATGAGAAGCGGAATTTAAGCGAATGAGGACTAGGAAGAAAGTCGCGTACCTTTCTGGTTACTAGGCTATGATGATTTACGAATTGCTGTTGCAGCTGGTCAATCTCAAATTCATCTAAGAGATCATCAGCATCGGTGAAAGCATCTTTAAGCTTGCCAAGCCAATTGCAGAGCTCACGGTTCTTTGCCTGCTGTTCCTCGGCATCTAACAACACTGCTCCGATGGTGGATAGTTTGTTCTGAAGCTCCAAGAGTTCATTTTCGACGGCCCTCAACAACCCAATTTCTTGGAGGAAAATAAGGCCTATTTTCTGCAAAATTGTATCAGCAATGTTAAACAGAAAAGTTTCTGCCATTTTTTATTTTTCTGAGGAGGAAAGAAAAAGGAGTGGTTCCCAAATTGTGATCAATGAAAGGCTGTTTTAAGAGAGAATGATATGAGAACCAGTCTTCTGTTGTGTTTTCGGAGCAAGTATTGTAGGAAATGCAATGTTGCCCAGTCTGTTCATAGACTTTGAAGCATTCAAGTCAACTTTGCTAGGTCTCTCTCTCTCTCTCAAGTAGACATTTCAACTACATGTATTCAGGAAATTTGGTGCAAGTATGGATTAATTATTCCAACCTCCCCCTCAGATTAGTGCACATCATTTTTTCCATTAAAATATTAACTTCCGAATAAAAGTGAATTGTTCGGATGTAAGTCCATTGATATCCGAATGTCACAAATGGAGTGAATTAAGACAAAATGTGGGACTAATAAAATACACCATTTGTGCCGTTTGGATATTGGCTTCCAAATAAAATACAAATGTTTGGGTATCTACTTCCGAACAAAATACAAATGTTTGGATATGAACTATAGAATGAGATTTTTGTTCAAACAATTGGTTGATGTTCAGAAGTTGATATTCAAACATTTTGATGTTGTTCGAAAGTTGATATCTGAATGGCACAAATGGTGTGTACTGAAATAAAATATGGTGTCGGAATAGAATTGCCCTAGAAGCTCCCACTTAACTCCATTGAAAGGACTAATTTGACAAAAATACCCTCAATTTTTTTTCTCACCTCCTCCTGCCCAAAAACAGCCCATCCCCAACTTGGAAAACCATAGCTTAACCCACGCCCTCCCCCCTTTTTCCATCTCCTCCACCCTACCCACCACTGCTGCAGGGCTGCAAACAAGTCGAGTTGATCTAAATAAATTAACCAACTTTAAATTATGTTCAAATTTAGCTTATTTACAAAACAAATCAATCTTGAACACACTTTTAATGAGCCAAACATGAGTCCAGCTCAAATATCTTGTTTCTTTATAGTATATACATAAGAAAATATAATCTGGTAATATTATACTTCTAACTTTTCAAGATTGACAACTCATGTAAAGAGTTGGAAATTGATAAATTATACAAAGAGTTGGAGGCTATTGGTCTTGGTTGCAACTTTTAAGTCTCTGTTTTATTAGAATAAAAAAATTGTGGAAAGTAAAAATGAAAGAAAGTGAAGTATAAGTAATGAAATGAAAAAGGAAATATGTTTTCTTGCAAACATCTTAATAGGATGAAAATTTTGCAAGACAAATTAGGGCTCTGTTCAAGTGTCCAAGAGCTCTTGGAGCAAGCTTTTGATCTATTTTTCGTTTGGAGAAATAGAAGTACAGCAAAATCCAACCACCCCCCCCCCCCAAAAAAAAAAAGGGAAAAAAGGACCAATAGCAAAAAGTCATCCATATTTAGGGGAATAAACTTCAAGACCTTGACAGTTGAGAAAATAATACCACTAATCAAGTGAATGTTACTAAAGGATATGAACATCAGCTGGGCAGTTACCAACTACCAGGGATAATTTCCACATTGATAGAACCATACATTTCCATGACCAAGTTTCCCAAATGGGAATCACATGTTTGCATACAAATGTAAAGAACTAGTAGTTGACAAATTCGAAACACATTCAACAGGTTAATTAGTGTAAATTAGTTAAGTTAAATAGGCAAAGATGGACAATCCAGAGTTGTTAGGAACAGTTACTAAAACAGTAGTTATATATGACAATAATGATGACAAACACAATGTTTCAGAAAAGTATTCCACAAGAACACTACATAGAGATAACATACCCAACAACACAACATTAATGCAGAAAACTGAATGCAACCAAACCATTTAAGGTCAAGACTCAAAACACTCTAATTGAAAACTCCCTATTGAAATCTGCAACTATGGTCAAGGTCTTCTGATGGAGATGACAGCTCCCTCCTTCCCTTACTGAAAAAATTTATATGTTGCTAACACAAGTCAGTCCCTTGTATACAAGCCATTCATCTGTTGATTTTCCATTGAACACCTGTGACTCCATGCTTTGCGATTATCCTAGTGACCTGAAATTAGAAATTTGATACACATTACATGTACTCAGACAGTGTGAAGAAGGAAGCAAGCAAAAGAAACAACTAATATTACATAGAACAAAAATATAAAGAAATAGTTTGAAGCCACAGACGCACCTGGGAAAGTTACAAAACTTCAAAAACTGGTTGCCTTCAATTTATTGAAGCCTCCTCAGGCCTCTAAAGTCCTCCCACTCTGTCAAGTTAAGATTCAGACAATTGCTGATCTCGAGATTCTCCAACTTAGCTAGGTTCTTCATGGTACTTGGCAAACATGTCAAATTGGGACACGCTGAAATCATCACTGTTCTGAGTGCAACAAGGAGTTGCATCCCTTCAGGAAAAGATGTAAGGTTTCCACATCCCGTAATACAAAAGGATTGGAGAGAGGTCAAGCGTTGGATCTCTTTCTCTGGCAAACAACTCTGTTGTGTGGTTAAGTACAAATGTCTGAGACTGATCAAGTTGCCTATGTTTTTGGGCAACTCTCGGATTTTAATACAATACCAAATTCGCAAAGTTTCCAAATGGTACAGTTTGCAAATGGCATTAGGGAGTGTATCAATATTTGCATTCCCACTAAGGTCTAAAAATCTCAAATGCTTCAAATTACCAATGGAATGTGGCAATACTTGAAAACATGAGTTGCTCAAATCAAGCACATGTAGGTACTTGAAGTTTGAGATGCACCTGTCAACAAAACCTGTGTCATTGGCTCCCACTCCTTGAAATGACAAAAAAATAGTTCGTAGATTCACTAGTTCGAACAATGACTTTGTGACCTCTTCTTCCCTTGAACAATTAGAATCACGAAATGGTACATGCTTGACCTTCTCAGAAATCGATCCAGAACCATAATTTGCAGTACTTGAACATTCTTCATTTGCCATCAATACTGCAAGATCATGAACAATCTCTGGCATTCTACATGTATTTAATAAATTGCCATGTTGTTCAATCTTTTCTAAGAAAAATATGGAACACAATTGATTCAAATATTCATCACCAACATCTTCCAACTCATGATTTAGGCCAGACGATTGAATGAACCCCTGCGCCATCCACAACTGTTTCAACTTATCAATTTCGATTTCATGGTTTTTCGAAAAACTGAACAATATATGAAACAACGTTTCAAGTTAGTAGGTAGTGGGTTGTAGCTCAATCTTAACACAGCCAAAATGTCGTCTTTCTTTTGCACCAATTCCCACAGTTGTTTTTCTTTGACATGCAACCAATCACTTTCAGCAGTCTTCATAAATAGATAGTTGCCTAAAGTCTTTGCTGCAAGAGGATGACCGTGGCACTTTTTCACAATTTCCTTCGCAATTTATGAGAGATTTACATGTTGTTTCCCAACTTTTTCGTGACCTGCCCATTTCAAAAGCAATTCATGGCAATCTTCATCGGAAAGACTCTGTAAATTGTACGTAGGAATGGTGCCCATAGTTGAAGCGACTGACTTGTTACGTGTAGTCACTACAATCTTACTTCCGTTGCCACCGCCTCTCAAGAACTTGAAGAACTTAACCCAATCTCGGTTATCACAACTGCATACATCATCCAAGATGAGCAAAAATCTCTTACCATGCAATTTTTCTTGAAGGAGCTTCTTTAAGTCAGCACAAGGAGAATCAGTTATGATTTGAACAATTTTCTTCATCACACGTGCAAAGTTAAAATCTTGTGATACCCTCACCCACATCTTCAACTGAAAATGGCTGACTACATTTTTATTATGAAACGCCATTTTAGCGAGAGTTGTCTTACCCAGACCTCCAATGCCAACAATGCAGATGACAGAGATTTTGTCATGATTATTACCACTTGGGGCCATTAAAAGTTGTAAAATCATTTGTCTATCCTTGTCCCTTCCAACGCAGTCCGAATCAGTTAAAAGGGAGGAGGCTGTCGTGCTGGCCGTGTCATGATTTTGAATATACTCCGTTGTGAAGGGATGAAATTTAGTTCTATCATCAGCGATCGTGTCTAATTTCTTCTGATAATTTTTATTTTACTACGCATTTTAAATTGTAAAACAAATGGGTTTGAGTAACATGAAAAGAATTTGTGTACCTTTAATCCAATGCTCGTATCATCATTCCTCAACACTTGGCGAAACAAAATTTCATAGTGGAATTCATCGAGCACGTTATCTGCTTCATAGAAAGCAGCTTGGAGTCTTTCCAACCATAAGCTCATGACAAGGTTGTTCCCTTGCGTCTTCTGCCCAGCATCTATGAGCACCGCATTGATGGTAGACAAGGTTCCTTCAAGTGTTTTCAACTCATCCTCAAGACCCCATGCCAAGCCTAACTTCCTTTAGAGCAAGAGAGCCTATCTTCTCCACAACTTTACTTGCTAAGTGGAAAAGAATTGTTTCTGCCATGAAGGTTCTTGATGATCAAGCAGATCAAATATAAGATTATATAGTTATTCTTATAGCAGAGAACTCACTCACTCAGCCTGCAGGACTCTTTTCACTCAGAAAACAACGGGTATACAAAAACATAAAATATAATAAAAAAATCACCCTAAATTTTTATTGAAGCCTACGATTTATTCATACTATGGGCTCACAATAACTTCTTTAAATACACCATTGATTTAATATTCTGAACAGCTTCTGATTTTGTTTTTATGATAAAAAATAAAATTTTAAAATATAAAATTCATTCAGAACTTTCATACAAAATACTCAATGTGATACGAGCTTTTTATTTTAAAACAAATATTTTTGTTTATAGAAGGTGACATTGCATGGGAGGTAAGAAACAAGAAAGATCCAATTACAAGGGTATTTCCAGACCTAGAAATATTCAAGGTCAACCATATATTCTTCATTTTTGGTGCATTGTCAGGATCCCATATGCCAAGCAATTGCGGACTATCTAACAAGAAAAACAAGAAGCAATTGCGGCTTCGCCTAGGCGCCAGCCCAAGTGGGTCCTATTTAGTTGGGTCGTCGTCTTTGTTGTGTTGATCGCTATTGTGTCAAGAGCAATGATAGGTATCATGAAAAAATTTTCATGAAAATGATCATGAAAGATTTATGACTCTTGAATTATACTTAGAATAAAACAGCACACACTAATCAAGGTAATCCAAGAGTCATAAATTTTTCATGATCAGTTTCATGAAAGTTTTTTCATGATCCCTATCTTTTCTCTTGTGTCAAAATTATCTCAATTCTAATTTAACTCGTTTACTTTTCATGTTATTTATCGTGATTTTCCGTTGATGTTCAGTTCCACTCAGGTTGCTTTGAGAAGTGGGTTGATTTTTTTGATTATTTTAATTTGAGGTTAAAAAATTTGATTTGAGACGGGTTTTTGAATTTTTTAACTTTTTTGTAAGAGAGAGAATGCAATAGTTATAAATTGATGTGATGTTTTGTCTTATTATAATTAAAAAATCTATTTTATTTTTTGTGACTATTTTAATCTCAAATCTACTTCCGAAACAATGCCTTAATGTTTTCTATTAAAAAAATTGACTCTTCGTTAGAAATAATTGTAAGAATCGAAATCAAAATTTTTTCATGTTAGTTAAATTTCATGAAACTATGTCGAAATTATTGATAAAAATATCTAATTTCAAAACAATTCTATTTTTTCAAATAAAAAAAAAAGATGAAGTACCAATATATTCTAAAATATAATTTTGTGAACTGTTTAGTCTTTTTTTTTTTTTTATGAATTCAAAAGTTCCATTAAAGTGGAAATTACAAAAAATGATAGTTACTTACATGTTTGGGTTTAATTTTTCAAGATTAAAACTAAATTTCTCCAAATGCAAAATTAGGCACTTAGGCAATTCGCACTATAGAAGTTTTGAATTTTCCCTCTTTCTCAAACAAATCCCACATTACAAAAAAAACGTAACCATCATGTAACACTCCAATAACGTAAAATTTCAATATAACACTTTAATATAATACATAAAAAAACTCATTGGTATACTTTTTCCAAATGTAACAACGTAACACTTAAAAAAATTTCTTAGTATATTTTTTCCAAATGTAATAACGTAAGACTCAAAAAAAGTAATATAAAAAAAATTCCTTAGTGTACTTTTTCCAAACATAACACTTCAATGTAACATACTCCAATGTTACACAGAATAACACTAAAAATTCCTTAATGTACTTTTTCCAAACGCAACACTCATAGTTTGAAATTGTACATTTGCCCAAAACTTACTAAGAATTTTTTTTTATTTCTTTTGGAATGGTTTGAAGAATTTCTCATCTTTTTGGAATGATTTGAAGAATCTCGCATCTTTTTTTTAGAGTGTTACGTTTGAGGAAAGCTAAGTAATTTTTTTAGAGTGTTATATTGGGATATTACATTTAGGAAAAGTACGCTAAGCATTTTTTTAGAGTGTTACATAAGATTGTCTTGTTTGGAAAAAGTACATTAATGAGTTTTTTTGTGTGTTACATTGGAGTGTTATATTAAGAAGTTTTTTTGGAGTGTTATATCGGAGTGTTACGTTTAGAAAAAATATACTAAGGAGTTTTTTTTGTTTGTTACATTAGAGTATTACTTTAAGGAGTTTTTTTTTTTTTTTTTTGAGTGTTATGTTTGAGAAAAATATACTAAATTTTTTTTTGGAGTGTTATATTAAAGTGTTACATTTGATAAAAGTACACTATTGCTGTGTTTGGTTAAGGGATTTGAGGAGGGATTTGGAAAGAGAAATGGAAATGGTAGGTGAAATATGAATAAAATGTACTTACATTTCACCTAATTTTACACACATTTTTCGTTTCTTTTTCCAAATCTCTCCTCAAATTCACCAACCAAACACAACATAAGGAGTATTTTTATGTGTTATATTAGAGTGTTACACTAAGTAATATTTTTTAGAATGTTATATTGGAGTGTTACGTTTGGAAAAAAAATACACTAAGAAATTTTTGTGTGTGTTACATTAGCGTGTTACACTAAGGAGTTTTTTTGGAGTGTTATGTTTGGAAAAAATATACTAAGAATTTGAGTGTTACAGTTTGAAATTAAACATTTGTCCAAAACTTACTAAGGAGTTTTTGTACTCCTTTTAAAATATTTGAAAAAACCGATATCCTTTTAGAATGTTTGAAAAATCTCATATTTTAAGTCATTTTTGTACTCATTTTGAAATGTTTTCCAAATAAAAATTTATCCCAAATTTGATTATCATAGATTATGTACCTTACCTTTCTGGCACAAAGGAAAAAAAAGAGAAGAAAATATAATAGAAATAAGAGTATAATTGTAAATCTAATTTTCAAATAATATATTTAATTTACCTTTTCAAAATCAATTGGACTAATTGGTCTATAAGAAAAATTTTGGGACTAAATAGATCAATATTTCTCAAAATAGGATTTATATATAAATTTTCCTAAAAAAAACTATACCCTATTGTTATTATTATTATATTTTTATTATGTTAAATAATTCAAAAAAATACGTTCTTATATGAAAACAAAAAACTATGTGTGTGTTTCATTTGAGTTTTTTGGATTAAATTTTTTGAAAACTGAGTTTGTTATTTTTCGTATTTTTTTTTGTTTTTTGTGAATATTTTTAAAATCTTAAGTAATTTTTTTACTTTTTTAGATGCACATTCCTTAGATATATCTAAAAAGTAAAAAAATTATGAAAAAATATTTTTAAAATTTAATAAATACATAAAAATATGAGAAATATACTGAATTCTCATATTTTTTTTTATTTTATATTTTTGGTATTTAGTGAATTTTTAAAATATTTTTTTACAAAAATTATACTTTTTATATGTATTTATGTTAAGTGTGTCTAAAAATTAAAAAAATTGCTTAAAATACCAAAAAAATTCAGTAAAAAAAAAATGAAAACTAAGAAAGTAGAATTTTCTGAAAAATGTTTTTGACAAACCAAAAACAATTCTATTATATATATATGTAGTTGAATAGAGATATGAAAGAGTTACAAGTTTCCTAACACCTCTTAGTAAAAATAGAAAAATGTTTGAGGGCCACAAAATCAGTGGTTCAAATGGTTCGAAACTGTCACAACGACGTCGTTTTTGGCTTTTTTTGTGCCCAAAACGACGTCGTTTTGACAATTTTGAGCCATTTGAGCCACTGATTTTGTGGCCCTCAAATGAATTTCGGGCCACCAACCATTGCTGGTAAAAATAATGTTAAAATATGTAATTACTTTTTATTAGACGCTTTACTAGCATTGATGTCGTGTTACCAATTTTTTTAAAAAAAATTCAACCAAATACCCTTTTGTGGTTGCAGGTTATGAGCAGCTTATTTGGTAAGGGCTTAGATTAAAAAACACTAGAGCAAGTCCTCTTTTTCAGTTTTGTTGTGAGAAAGGAAGAGAATTCTAAATTATTGTGAAGATAAATTTTGTGTTCTTTTGTTTTCTGTCTGGTTAAGATTTTTTCTTTCAATTGTTTAGATTTTTGAATCTATATATATATATATATATTACATAAGGAAAATCAGATTTCTAATGATAAGGTTTGTGAGAGTTCCAAAATCTCATTTCACAATTGATAATTTTTGTGATTTAAAAAATAGTTAAACATAATTGTATTAGCTAACAAACTAATTATAGATTAAAGAAAAAAAAAAACAAAAAATTACCAAAAACTTTGAATTACAAGTTCCTAAAATCTCTCTCCTAATATTTCTCTCTTTCCTAAATCTCATCTCATAACAAAGTAATTATACATTAAAAATAAAATAGAAACAAATATCATCTCATA